TCAACAGAGGGGGAGGAAAAGTAGCTCTTGTACCTCGGACGAAGACAGGGTAGACAAATCCTGTGGCCATCCCAGGATCAGGAAAGTCAGCCAACATTCTGTCACTGCTTGCAATAGACCATCCGATAACCTCATCACAGCTCGGAGATACTCTTCACCCGCAAGGTCAGAAACGTCCATGGTGGGCCACCTGCCAGTTATGAGGAAAGCTAGCACTCCTTTCAATCCCTTCCCTGTGAAACACTTGAATGCCAATCGTGTGAAGACAGGTTTGAAGCTGGGGTTATACACCCCCTCAACCTTGGAACAGTTCGGGGGCCGCAAGTCCAGTACAAGTTCCTGATCCAAGGTTGTGACATTTGGTTCTTAGTTGATCTTGTGTTGATTTTGGCACACTTGTGATATTACCGTATGCTAAAGAATCCTTGATTATTTTTGTATTTATTGCATCAACCAAAACACAGTTTTTGTGTAATAATTCAATTGTTTTTTTTTAATGGAGTTAAATGAGTTTTCATTATTCCCTAAGGCTTCTCCATAAAGAGAAAAAACAACATTTGTGTTAATATTAAAATTGATTTGGCACATCTGACATTTGTTTAATTCTATCATTGTTGTTTAATGTGATCATCATCATCATGTCCCTTAGTCCTTGGACCGTTGGGGCGCCACAGATGACATGTGAACTATCCTCCTCCATTCGTCTCTGTCCTCTGCACTACGCACAGCATCGCCCAGTGATAGTCCTGTCCGCTCTTTGATGTTATCCTCCCATCTTTTTCTTTGTCTTCCTCTTCTTCTCCCTCTTCTTGTGGTGCCCTGCAATATTTCTTTGGCTAGCCCTTGTTTCCTTGTTACATGGCTGTACCATTGTAGTTTGCGTTTTTTCACAGTCACCAGTAGGTCATCGTCCTCCCCAATGGCCTGGCGAACCCTTTCTTTCATTGTATCATTGGAGATATGGTCCCTATAGCAGACGCCAAAAATGCTTCTGAAGCATCTCATCTCCATCGCCTTTATTTTCCTTTCCCAGGATTCGCAGGCATACAGGAAAATGGAGAGGACTAATGAGCACATCAGCCTGATTTTGGTGCTGGGGGCTATATTTTTGTCATTCCATATTTTCTTGAGCCTCTTTAGTGCTGTTGTAGTCTGTGCAATCCTGGACATCAGTTCGGGCTTGGAGCCTTCTTCTGAGACTATTGCTCCTAGGTATTTGAAGTGGCCTACAGTCTCTAGTCTTTCCTCCCCGACCTTAATTTCAGTGGTGATGCCTGTGGTGTTATTTGTCATCAGTTTTGTCTTTTCGGCACTGATTAGCGTGCCGTAGGACGACGAGGTCTTATCGAGACGCTTCACCAAGTTGGCTAGCTCTTCTTCATTCATAGGGTTGTTTATGTTTTTTTGTAGACTTCTAGCTCAGTCACAGATCATCCTTTCAATGTTAAATGTATTCATTCAGTTCCTGTAAGCCAACTTTAAATTAAACATAATAAATATCTTACTGCTATATAAACAGGTAAAGAAAATTAGCCCAACTGTAACATATATAATATATTGTATAATATTAGTGGGTTTACCTATAAGCTCTTTCTTACCTGTTTTGACCTACATTTCTACAAGAGTAAGCAGACATGCTTTCATTTAGTTACCAAGTAGGCCTACATTAAAATAATTTTTTTTTTTTTAAATTGATTACCGGTACATAAAAGTTACATGGTACCTGATCACTGATATTTTTTAACATGCCAGATTTTACATAATGATATGCTTGAAAGAACATGGTTCCAGAAAAAAAGCAATTAATTTTACAAGTAATGTGAGCAAAACTGAAATGTAAACGATATCTAAAATAAAAATAAAAAATTAAATTAATGGTTGATTAAAAATCAATATGTATCACTCCATTGTTTCTTCATTACATTTTTGAAAAAAACTGCATTAAATAAAGGGCCATCAATATGGAGGTGGAAAGTGAACAACTTTTTGCTAGAGTCATAAGTTGTAAATTGTACGCTCGATTCTGCTGGGTGCTGTCCATGGCTATACAGGTGTAGATAGTACTTGGGTGGGTGAGGTCAAGCTTTTCACCAATTGTTTTTAAATGTATACTTTTCTGTAATTTCTAATTTTTATGTGAAGCGCAGTGAGCCTGGCCTTAGGCTGGGGTACTGTGCTATATAAAATGACCTAATAATAATAATAATAATGCACCAGACACCATAAACAAAATCAGAAACAATTTTATAAGATTCATGAATAATATTCATGTTTTTTTCTGCAGTTGTAGTCATAAAATAATTCTGGACTCTGCAGCCCATGATTACATCCAACATGACTTTCTCTTGGCTAAACATTTTTTACTTATTGCCAGAAATCCCTTTCTAAAATCTTTTCATTCCTTTCAGTTTTGTTTAGTTATGTAATGATATACAGAAATACTTTAAAATTTGTAACCAACAATGAGCTACAATGCTCATGTCCTTATCCGGAATAGTGCGTTAAAATGGTCATGAAGTATTCATTTGTTTTGTTTCTGTGCCGAAATGACTGCCATGAATTATTTGTACATAAAAAGCACATGTAATGGAAAAAACCTAACAGAACTGTTATCAACTTTTGTTCAACTAGTTCGTGTCTAATTAATCTATTCAACTAGCAGCAATATTATGATTGACCTACCTATTCTTTATTGACGTTCCTATGCTTAATCATGACTCACTTTTGAGCCAGAAGCTAAGTTAAGGGTTAATTATTTCTATTGGAACACATTGTAAGCATCAAACTTATAAGCAAAATTATTTTTCCCACTATGGTTTTAAAAGGTACAATAAAGTGCATTAGTTAAAAAAAATTTAAAGTGTTTTTATATCTTCATGCCTATTATGTATAATGAAATTTTGCAGCTTTGTAAAGAAGGAATTGGAATATTAACAGATAATGCGTGTGGGAAAATAAAATTAACAGAAATAAAGTATGCCCAATTTTGAATATTTTAATTTTACTTTACCTAGATTAAATGATTTCCATTTTGGTTGCCTATCAAACTATACAATTGTGAGTAGCTAAGGTTACCTTATCACCGGTAGCCTATTACAAAAAAAAATATTGTGTATATTAAAATTTGATTTGGCAAATCTGACAAAATTTGTCTAAAGGCTATCTTTGTTGGTTATATTTAATGTGAATAACATGCCTAAAATAGAAATGTGATCCATATGTTTTTTGTAAACTTCTAGTTAAGTTACGGATCATCCTTTCAGTGTTCAAAATGTTCATTCGGTCCCTGTGAGCCAACTTTAAACTTATTCATTCAGCCCCTGTGAGACAACTTTAAACTTATTCATTCAGCCCTTGTGAGCCAACTTTAAACGTATTCATTCAGCCCCTGTGAGCCAACTTTAAACTTTTTCATTCAGCCCCTGTGAGCCAACTTTTAAACTTATTCATTCAGCCCCTTTGAGCCAACTTTAAACTTATTCATTCAGCCCCTGTGAGCCAATTTTTAAACTTATTCATTCAGCCCCTTTGAGCCAACTTTAAACTTATTCAATCAGCCCCTGTGACCCAACTTTAAACTTATTCATTCAGCCCCTGTGAGACAACTTTAAACATATTCATTCAGCCC